AGGTGGAGGAGGGTGGGAGAGGTAGAAGAGGGTGGGAGAGGTGGAGGAGGGTGGGAGAGGTGGAGGAGGTGGGAGAGGTGGAGGAGGGTGGGAGAGGTGGAGGAGGGTGGGGGGGCTGGAGGGCGCGACAGGGATGTGTACTTCCAGCTTCCCATGCAACAATGGTGGGGCCTCCCAACCTCAGCTCGCTGATCTCCACTGGGAGCCCCGGAGTAAGCATATTAGTGCCATTTTCCAAAGGACAACACAGGCAGAGACGTTCAACGCTRGCCTGAGGCCAGGAGGCTGGAACCATGGCTGCTCTGGTAGCCCACTGCAGGGCCCTCAAACCTCAGCCCCTCAAATCAACCCAAACCAAGCTCCAAATCACCCTGTCCCTTTAAAGCAACCTGATCTCAGCCAAGGCCCTGACTCTTCAGCAATGGGAGTCTTCTCTCCACACCTGGCTGTCTCAGGTGGACACCTGTGGTCACCTCCTATTTTCAAAACTTCTGGTTTCTGCCACTCTTACCATCAGTCCCCACTCGGGAACTTTCTACTGGCTTCCTGTCACACCAGAACCTCACTCAGGGGCAGGGACAGCTACCCAGGAAGCCTCTCATAAGGCCCAGAGGAATCTGGCCCGGACAGCGCCCCCTTCCTCCTTCCTTCCATGAGTTCTCTTCTTACACACAAGCTGGGCAGCAGCRCAGGGCCTGAGCCTTTTCCATGCTCCCTGCTGTCTGGGACTCCTCCCAGATCCCCAAGTGTCTCATTCCCTAAGGTCCATTCATGCCTCTGCACAAATGTTACCCCTTGAGAGGCCCTCAGAGCACACAGCCATCATTCCTCTCACCCTCCTCACCCAGCAGAAGCAAGTGTCCACCATGCCACCTAAAGCCACATTGCAGCTTCATGTGACTTGTTTCTACCGTCACAGGTCACAGTGCACACTGTGAGAGTCGAGACCTCGTCTACTCTATCATCCGCTGCACCCGTGGGCCTGAACTCTGGGCTGCCAGGGTACGCACCTGTCGGCCCAGTGCCTGAACCCAGCCAGCGACTCAGAACAGAAACGCGCGGGGAGCAACCCCACCCACCGCAAATGATTCAGGACCCACAGCCTTGCCTAACACCCAAGGCCTTCCTCACCCTCGAGGCTCTGCTCCCCAGGCCACCACATGGAACCTCTACTACAACTGAACCAGCACTCCTGAAGCAATATGACCCCCCCAGTCTGCTCACAAAGTCTTCCCGGTTTCCTCACATCACTGCACCTCAAAGCCTCAGCCACAGGTCCTCCCTCTTCTGAGCCTCCATGTTCAGGCCAGGCTCTAGACCTGGCACAGGGCCTGTGCTGCCACGCCAGGGATGCAGGGTCAGTAAATATTTATCCAGTGATGTCTGTTTGGGTATCAGTGCTCCCTTGGCACCTATAGGCTGCCGTATCTGCAGTGACGACGATTAAGGCAGGAAGACCCAAGGACAGCACCAAGGGACAAGAGTTCAGGATAGGATGTGCTGTTTCTAGGAAGGGCAGGAGGGTCTGGGCTCAGCCAGCCAGAGGCACAGCCTCCTACAACTCACCCCTGAGTGTGTGCCCAGGGGACCAGAGCTATTGCTGGAGGGCAGATGGGCATGGAAATGTTGTGCAAGGACACAACAGCTGCCAGGTTGGTTCAGGGCAGCCAGATCAACACAATTTCTCAAGAAAYCTCTATGTGAATGTAAAATCTGACCACCAATGCAAAACCAGGAGCCGGGTACCACATAAACAGCTGGCCAGTACCAATTGCCTCCCTGTTTTTGAGCCCATGCTCTCCTCTCTTGCCCCTCCATTTTGATTGTTCCAGCATTCAACAAGCACCTGTCAAACACTAGGAATGAGTCTGGTGACGGGCTTCAGCTGCCTCTGTGTCTGTAATGCCAAACCCAGGACTGGCTGTGCCTGGGAGGCTGTAGCCTGGGCCAACCCAGGGGCCTCATCTGTCCTTACCTTCGTTGTGCTGAGCTCTTCTTCTCTCATCCCGTGGTGTTCTGGTTCCGTCAATTTTTCTAGAAGAGAAAAAAAATGGGCACCTATTATCTCAGGCTCATTTACCTAAGCATTTATTTGAAAAGTCAGACTCTGCAATTATCTTTGTATGGTAAACTCATGTGCAGAAAGCAAGAGCATGGTCTTTCTCTACTTGCCCTTCAGACGTAGAAACAGACTAAAAATGCACCTGGTGCCTGCTGTGTGCTGACCTGCCCAGCTCAGAGACCAGAAAACCCTCCCTTCTTCTGGTCTCAATACCAGACCTCCCAGCATCCCTGGGACTGAGACTCCTGCACCTACGGGGAATAGGGGTGTGTCCGGGGTGCGATCGTCCTCTGTGTTCCTGTCTGCAGCACATCCTGGGGTGTCATCATGACATAGAACTGGCCTGCAGGGGAAGCAGGGGTTAGCACCAAGATGGGGCAGAGTTGGAACTGGTTGGGGACTTCCCTCCCTGATAGGCCTGTTGCTTCCCCTGCCTTCCACCCTCGCCACTTCCTCTCCTTACCTCCGGCCTGCAAGCTCTGGTCGGTGGTTTGCACGGACACAGCAGTGGTATCTCCCACACTGGATGCGGGGAAATAGGCAAACCGGGCCTCTCCACTGACAGCCTCCGCTGCTGGGCTGCCACCATTGCTGAAGGGATTCTGGATTACAGCCTGGGGAGTAGGAGGACACAGAGGCCACCCTTAGCTATCTCTGTCCCCCTTGTTGCTGTACTTGATTTTTGGTGCATTTTCTGTGGGGAGGAGGAAGCCCTCTGAGCGTACTATTTTGTCCTGTGTCTGTGACAGTGTGACAGCCAAGCACCTTGACTCAGCCTTCACTTGCTAAACCTGTTCATTTTTTACTCCAAGAGGATTTTCACTTACAGACATCATCCCCATTTTACAGGAAAAACAGACAAAACTCCAAGAGATTTAAGGATTCCCTCTGCCCAAAAGGCACCTGACCCCACATCATCCGACAGCCTAAAGGTGGCATGTGTGCCACCTCACCTGCCCCACCCCCTGGAGCTTCCAGGATAGTTAGCATCCCTCTCCATATTCCCAGAAATTGTTGGGCACCTACCAGTGGGAAGGGTGCTGCGGGACCTGGGGGCACAGAGGCAGCGGCGGGGCCAGGGCGCTGGGCTGCCCCGTCCACGCCCACCTGGGTCACAGCCTGCTGCCCCCCCGCAAAGGCAGCCGTGGACACGACGCTGACGGCGCCAGCTGTGTCTCCCTGGCCATCCAGCTGACCATCAGTCACCTGGACTACGCGGTATGTCACCTGCAGGGGGCGGCAGAGCGACGAGACCGGCGCTGGGGCCGGGGCTGGGGCCAGGTCAGAGCCTCTCAGCCCGCCCGCGCGCCCGCCCTCTGCTCAGCCCACCACTGGCCCGCCGGGCTCCCGGCCCGCTGCCTCACCTGTCCTCCATTATTCTCTGTGCGGAACTGGTACTGGATGTTGTGGTCACCGAACGCCGCCTGCTGGACGCTGGCGATGGCCACCGCCGTTTGCTCCTCCGCCCCAGGACCGTCCCCGCCTGCGGTCAGAGTGTAGAGAGCAATGATCAGCGGTCGCCTGGGGTCAGAGCGCCCCCAGCCCCTCTCCGGGCGTGGGCCGCAGCCCCAGTGGACCCGCAAGCACTCACCTTCTTGCAGCTCGACGCCCTCCTCGGCCTCGGGTCCCTTGTCGTGGCTGCGGCAGGGACAGGAGGAAGAGGGGTCAGGGTCAGGGGTGCCCGAGCCCCTTCGCCCGGGGGCAGGGCCCCACGCCGCCCGGCACCGCATGGGGCCGGACGCCGCCAGAGTGGGGGGCCGGGGGCGCTAGGCACCGGGCGCCCCCTCCCTCGCGGCCTCCATTTTGAGCCGGGCCCGGCGGCCGCTCCGGATCATGGCGGCCCGGCCGGCAGGCCGAAGGGCCGGGACCCGGGTGCGCGAGGGCACCGGTCTGCCGGGCGCTCTTACCTGGCAGCGGCAGCAGCGGTGGCCGAGGCAGCGGGATCCAGACCCGGGTCCAGCATGTCCATGGGGGGGGTGGGGGCGGGGGGGGCGCGGGGCCCGGGGGGGAGGGGAGGGGGGAGGGAGGGAGGGGAGGGGGCGGGCGGCCGGGGGGGCCCCGAGCCCGGCGCTCACGCCGCGCGGCAGGAGGGGACGGAGGAGACACGGGAGCCGCTCGCGCTGATCACGGGGACAAACAGTGGGGTCATGTGAGGAGGAGATGCCGCCGCCGCCGCCGCCGTCGTCGCTCCTGCAGCCGCCGCCTCCTCCTGCCGCCGCCGCCTCYGCCCGCCCGCCGACTCCGGGCTGCCCGAGGCTCCGGGACTCAGCGCAGCCGCCCCCCGCCCGCTGCACGCGGCCCTCGGGCCTCCTTCCCTGAGCAGCCGCCGCCGCCGCCGCGACTTATTTTAACAAGGCCCGCTCTGGATGGCCGCCGCCTCTCCCCGAGATCGCCGGTTCGCGCGCCCGCCTCCCGGCCTGGACCCGTTCGGCGGCGGATCGCTGCTGCAGCCACCGCCGCTTTCTATTTTTTCCCCCTTTTTTTTCCTCCTTTACTTGAGCTGCGCGCGCGCGGCGGCGGCGGCGGCGGCGGCGGCGGCGCGAGCCCGGGGCTTGACGCGCGCGGGGGGAGGGCAGCCCCCGGGGAGCGCGCGCGCTGTCTGTCTCCGATGGCAGGCGGGCGCGCGCGGGCCCGGGTCTCGGCGGGGCGCGAGGTCGCCGCCACAGCCTTCCACAGCCGCCCGGGGCCCGCCGCTRGATGGAACGCGGGCCCAGATGGAACGCCGGGGGACCCGGAGGTGGGACTGTGGTCGCCAGGGGGCCAGGGAAGCTGCCAGGGTTTGAAGACAGCAAAGTAGGTCGGGGGTGGGGGGGGGCGGCTAACAGGGTGGAAGGGGAGAGGGGCGCGCGCGCGCGCTCCCGGCTTCTGAGAAGGCGGAGGCGCGAGGCGCATGCGCACGTCTGGGCGGGGCCGCGGCGCGCACGCAGGGGCCGGGCGGAGGCGGCGTGGGGCACGTACTCCTGGCCAGGGCAGAGGTAGAAGGCAGAAGGCTGACTTGGGTCCCTTCCTTCTGACCCAGGACTCCAGCTCCCGGAGAAATGGGACATGGCATTTTCAGACACACGGTAGCTGCCCAGGTCCCCCACCTCGTGCAGCAGAACAAATGTTTCTCAAGACATCACTTTTATGATTATCAATTTTATTAGATTTACAAGAAGATCTTCATCAATACTCCCTCAAATTAAAAAAAAAAAAAAAAAAGTACAAAAACTACATACAAAACATGAGGTCAGACGACTAAACTTTCCCGACTCAGGGCCAAGTTCTGCAAAGGAGAAAGAAGAGTGTAAATTGGGCAGGGACTGAGAAGAGGGGCCTGGGCAGGGTCTAACCTCGGGGAGGACCATTCGCTCACCTTCTTTAGCCTCCGCTCCCGTGAGGCCTGGGAGTCCGTCTCGGAGTACGGGGGAGGCGGTGGAGGGTAGTAGGCCTCCTCTTCTTCCTCTTCCTCCCTGTAATGTTTCCTCCTCTCCCCTGGCCCCTTTTTCCTTAAGGCCTCTTCTAGTAGACGCCCATCATAATGCGGGTCCCCCGACCTAGAGCCTTCATCCCGGGAGTCTCKGGATCGGTGCTGGCGGGATCTGGGGTCCACCTGAGGGCGGTCCCTAGATCTGAAGTCATCGTAGTAGTGAGGATCCCGCGAATGTGGAAAGTCCCTCGAGTCATCTGGGTCATAGAGGTCATCACGGCTACGGCTTCGTGGGGGTGCATAGGCACGTCCTCTCCTCCCACTACTTGGGGGAGACCTCCTCCCAGATTCAGCAGAACCCGGCCGGGTTAGATCATCCAGAGCATCCACGGAGTGTGCCCGGGGCCGCCTGCCCCCCCAGCCACCCCCTGGCCGCTCTGTGGGGGGCTCCTGCTCCCATCTCCTGGGACTCCGGGGGGAGTGGCGGCCCCACTCCTCATCCCGGATTGGGGTGAGGGCAGGACCCCGGGAAGGCCGGGATCTCCAGTCGTCTTCGTGGAGGGAGGTGACTTCACTCATAGCTGTAGGGAATGGGGAATGTCACTGATGCTGGATGGGGCCAGGGCTAGGCTAGCAGTTGTCACCCCCTGGCTCAAAAATTCCCTAGGGGACATGATAGGGAAGGAGGAACTATGCTCAAGGTGTTTACAGTCTCCTTGGGGCAGGTATCAAGGAGCCATGCTTCCCCATCCCCCTCAGACCCCAGGTCTCCTCACCCCGTTCTACACGACCATTGGGGGGGCCAGGTCCAGGTCGAGAGGGGTCGAAGTTGGCCAGCTCTTTCTCCATGTAGTACAGGACTCTCATGGAGTCATCCTGCTGGCTGGCCTGGATCCTGTACCCACTGCGGACTTCTAGGGATAGGAGAAGATGATGGATCTGGGAAGATGGATGCTGACCCACCCAGCTTCCCTCTCCAGGCATATCCAACTTGGGAATGACAGGTGCTCACCAGAGGTCGTGTTGCTGTCTGTGTCCCGAAGCAGGGGTACCTGGGAGCTGTGRCCAACTGAAGGAGATTGGTGGTCAGTGGCTGCCCCCCCCCCAGCCCTGCCTTCCCAGTACCTCCCACCCACTCTTCCTCCCAACCCCAGCCCCCTTTGTGTCCAGTGCCCAGTCCAGCCCCACTCAGGTCAGCCCTCACCTGAACTATTCCTGTCAAAGTCTCCAGCGTACCCTCCAGGGTATCCATTGTAGACAGGGCCCATGGGAATCATGGCTGGTGGTGGAGGTGGGGTCTTGGTCGGGGAGAGGTGGGCGTAGGTGCTTGGRGCGTAGATGCTTGGGACGCCTGATGTGGCTGCTTTGCCAGCTGCATACACTGGGAGGGCACAGTTGGCATGAGAAGGCGGCCAGGAGCCACGCTGCTGTGTGAGGGGGGTTCTAAGGGCTGTGCGCCTGCCTSCCCCACCGCATTATTACAGTACCCCGAGGCCAGGGAACATCAGCTATACTTAGGTTGTCGCCTCCTGTGATTCTTCATGGAGCTTTCAGAATAGGGGGCGTGTGGCACACTGGCAGTCCACAGTCCCCAATCTGGCAGGCCAATACATTTTGTTTGACCTTGTGGTTTGCCAACATTTGTCAAAAGATTTATGTGAAATTCCAATTCTCCAGCTACCTTCCCTAAAGCTCTGGCTGCACTGTGTGCTTACAGGCGACAGTGAGCAAAGCCACCTCTTGGGCCTACACTATCCCACGGGCTGAAACCAAGTTTCCCTTTGGGTGGCAGAGTCCCTACTCTGGAACAGGGAGTTGCCCGGGAGATATCCCATGCCCACTCTGCTGTCATGCCTGCTGGGTCATCTTCCAGAGCCAGATGGCAAGGAAAGGAAGTTGGTCTGAGACAGGCCACAAGGGCCCCAGGAGTTAACTGGGCCGCCTCAGCCAGGAGCAAAATAGCTCCTCCAGGGTTTCCAACTCCTGGCCCCACCCACTCTCACCCAGAGGGCCAGCCAGCCTGGCTCTAGGCTTGACAGCTCAAGGGCAAATCCTTGCTTCCTTCCTCCCACAGCAGGAGGTGGGGTCCCATGGCTGCTCTGTGGCCAAGTCACTGGGCTCTAGGCAAGTCACTTCCTCCTTGGTATTCCACAGGCCCTGGGAGACGCCCTACTAGTCTGATTTGGTTCAAAAGCAGAAGAATAAGTGCTGAGCCCCACCTAGGACAAAACCCTACATCAGCTCAGGTGACTGATTTGCTGTGTTATAATTAGCAGTGGGAGCTGCTTCCTGATGGATCTGCAGGGGGCTGTGGCTGGGGCTAGAGCTGAAGTAACAGGGATAGGCGGTAGGTGGAGGAGGTGTGCCTGGGGACAGGCCTGTGCACGTGGACCTCAGCCTCAGTGGGCTAACTGAAAACTTGGTGGCAGCCCTTTAAAGTTCTTTTCTGAATCTGTAAAATGGACTAACACCCACCACCTGAGCCAAAGCTCTCAACTAAGTGATGGGAGCGAGACTTTGAGGAGCCGGGTTGCCCACCATGGTACCAACTGGCATGGACAGAGCTGCAGCTTCCTGGGCACTTTCCCAGTCTTCCCTTCAAGCTCAAAGAGAAGGGAATGGTGCAGGTCAGAGGTCACAGTGTATGGGGGGCCCTGAGCTGTACCCTAGCCTGAAGGCATTGCTAATGTAGGCTAAACCCATGTCCAACAGCTAGTAGGCTCCAAACACTATAGAGGTCCAGCCTGGTGCTGAAAGCTGTGAACTGAGTTCACTACATCCCTGACTCACCCTGCCTAGTGAGCTCTGCCATGAGCCCCATTTTACAGAGGAGAAGGGCAAGGCACTCACTGGGCCAGCCCATTAGGCATTATCAGGCCAACCTCAAACATCCACCTACTCAGGCTCATAACTGCCTGTTTTCCCGTTAATACTCGTTGGGTTGTGTGCAGAAGTAGTGGTCTATCTACTCGCCTTCCTGAAGGACTAAGGAACTGGTAACAGCTGGTGCCCTGAGGAGGGAAACRGGCAGAGGTGGGAGGGAGACTCACTTTCTTTCTCTTTGCTTGTGTCCTCCGCCCACTTCATCTCTGGTCCTACTTCTGTTTCTGAACTTCCACAGGTACCCCACTCTGATACATCAGGAGTGCCCCTAAACGCAGGCTTCATGTAAAATGTATAGTGTTCATGTGAATATGTGTTTTTTAAAATGTGCTGAAATTACATGGTGCGGTAAACCTTGTTTTCTTAACTTTTACACTTGAGATTTTGTTTTTAAAGGGATCCTTGCTTCCCTGTGAATAATCTTATATTGTTGGACTTTTTTTTTTACCATGTTCATAAATTATATTAAAAAACCGAAAACTCTCAATAAATGAAAAATATAAGCTGAAGTAAGTAAGTGATAATCTAAAACAGCAGGTCCTCCTTGGCGTCCTGTCTCCCTAGTGCTGACCTCCTCACCTCCAGATCAGGGCACTGTCTTGGGTAAGCAGCACCTGCCCAGCAGGGAGGCTGCATGAAGGTGGCATGAGGAGCACTTACGGGCCTCGGGGCAGCAGCACTTCTCCGGGCAGCAGGGGCACCTGACGTAACAGCAGCAGGTATGTGGGCAGCACTGACACCAGCAAATGCCCAGGAGGAGAAAGACAAGGAAGGCAGCCAGGCACACCACGACCACGAAGAGCCAGTCTGCAGGGAGACCAGAGGAGGCCCTGAGCCGGGAAAATCCAACAGGGGCAGAGAGGCTCTGCAGGGGCAGCACAGAGCCAACCTGGGCCGGGGGACCTGCAGCCCTCATTGGATTCTCTGTGCCAGAGTTGGGGGCACAGTACAGAGGGATGCCGAACCCTCTATAACCAGRGCCAATCCCCAAATTAAGGATCCCTCGGGCTTCAAATGGACAAGGCAGAAAACAAGAGTAACCTGGCCAAAGCAAGATGGAGTGTAGCCTCTAGGAGGGCAGAGAGCCATAGCCCAGACCCAACCCCTGAAGAACACAGCTGGCGCCAGTCACAGGAACCCCTGCCTACACCCCAGGTCCCTCCTCAGCCAGCCCAGCCCACCTCCAAGCCCAGAGCCAGGCCACTAGATGCCACAAGGTCAGAGTTAGTGGGGTTCACAGCGAGAGTGATTAGGGGGGAGGAGAATGACAGAGAGAAGCCCCACTGAGGACTCCACCCCATACCTTCCATGGGCCCCGCCTGAAAATCAGGTAAGAGTTCAGTCACCCCCGAGGTCCTGCCTGGAGGGACAAAAGAGAACAGGAGATTATGCTGGCCAGAGCGGCCCAGGCAGTCCTGTCCCTAAAAAGTGCCCCATTCCAGGCTGCTCAGTAGAAGGTGTGTCCTGCAGCAAGCAGGCGGGGGCGAGGCTGGTGGCCTAGAAGAGACTTGGCGTGTGGTGCCTGCCCTCCACCCCTGCTCACAYGTGGGTGCTGGTGGTGTGAAGGCCACCATCACATAATCCACTTGCTGTCAGCCCCAGCAGGTTCCAACACACGCCACAGGTCTCGAAGGTTTGACCTTAGTCCGGTCACTATCTTTCCCATCCAAGGGTTCCAACAGGCAACAGCAAGGATCCCGTGGTGTCAAGCAGAACAGGCCCAGCACCCTAGGACCCAGAAACATGCTTTTTTTTTTTTTTTTTTAATCTGGAGAAAAAAATGTATAATACTAAGTATATGAAAATGGAATGTCTTTGTGTGTTTTGTTTTGTTTAAATGGAGGAAGGGGCCCACAAAGGCAGAAGCTTCTGTGGCCCATAGAAGTCACATGGGATCCTGGTCCTGTGACCCACCAGGGTTCCATCCTCTGTTTGTGCATTCTGTCACATGTGCATGTTTCCTGACCCGGTTGGTGCCTTCCCTCAGGTGCCATGGGGGCCTGCGTCCTGCGAGCAGCACATGGCGGGAGCCCACACACGCGGTCCCTCACCACAGAGCTCTCGCGGGGCTCCCACGTGGCATCACACACCCCCGTGAGGCGCAGAAGCATGTGAGTCTGGTTCTAAGCCCAGACCCTTTTCAGGACACCAAGGCATTACTTGCCTTCTTTGCCCTCCTTCTCTCATGTGGGGCTTTCCAGAGCCTCTGTGACACAATGACGTCATTGCCTTGATAGCTATGGCTTGTGCACTTGTGTATCTTATGCTTTAAAAAGTAGCCAGTTTCAGTTTCTAACACACTAAGCAACTATAGACATAGCCTCAAAGACCCTGAACGACTACTCTGAGGTCTCAGAATGTTCCAGGGTGAACAGGCCCTGGGGTTAAACTCAGAGAATCGCTGCTGCCACGGTGTACGTTTCCAGAACTTCCCGGGTGGCGGGACTGCGGGTGCAAGAGCATCCTGACCCATGCCCCCCTGGCGTGCCTGCTCTGTYACACACGTGAGGGGACGACACCCTTCAGCTCACGGCACCGCTCACACTAGCACACACTACTGTGCTGTGCGTTGCTTCTAACAGAGCACCCGGCCCATGGCAGCACCTGCTCCACAGGGCCGAGACCACCCAGCCACACGTGGGAGCTGCTGGTGGACACCCTCATTTTACATACAAACTTGCACACTTCCTAGCAGTCAAAAGACAAAAGATGCTGTGTCTGTCAAGGGACTCCAAAGTGCCCTAGGGACCTATGAGGAGAGAACAGGTGGGTCCAGCCTCTCAATTACACTATGTCACTGTCGGCCCTCCCTGACCAGGGAGGACTGGGAAAAAAAAAAAAAAATCCTTACTGAACATGGACAGGACTTTTTTCCATGTTACCATTGCCTAAGCAATACAGTGTAACAACTCCTGACCCATTACATTGTATCAAGTATTAAAAGTAACCAAGAGATGACTTAAAGTACACCGGAGAATTAGAGGAAGGTTCTTTGTAAACTAAACCCTTTCACATAAGGGATAGGAGCATCCTGGGACTGTGGTTCTGGGGTGGGGTCCTGAACCCCCCCGCCCCCCCCATACGACACACACAGTCATCCTCCTCCCTCCTTGTCAACCACATCTGAGCATGTCTGTTTTCAAAAAGGGAGACTGGGAAGAGGTAGAGCCCCGGTTCTCTCCATTCTTAGTTCGGCTCTGGCTGACTTGGAAGGCTGCAGGCGAAGGGACCCTTCCTGGGGTGCAGGGCACAGAGAAGCTCAAGTGACTGGCGGTGGCATGAGGGGAGAGCAAAGCAGGTAAAGAGCCCAGGGAGTGGGCTGGAGGGCAGAGTAAGGACACAGAAGGGACAGGACAGAAGGGCCTGCTCCCCCCCCCCCTCCAAGGACCTCAGAGAGCAGCCCCACTCACCAAGGACGATGAGCTCTGCATAGGCCTCGTTGTTCCCCTGGAGATCCTGGGCCGACACCACGGAGCAATAATACACACCACTGTCCCCCCAAGACGTCTGCTCAAAGGTGAGGTCAGCATCTGAGACGGGAAGAGATGGTGTGAGGGCCCCTCATGAGAGGGGATGTCTAACCCCGACAGGAGCAGAGSCCCCCCATCCCGTGGGCACAGCGGGGAGGGAGCAAGGGGGCAGGGCTGGGTGCTCCTCGAGCACTGTTCTTAACACGGAACATGGGGCACTTCAAGAAGCCTGGTGGGGGGCTGGGGTTATAGTTTCCTAGCACGTGTRTGAGGCACTGAGCTTGATCCTCGGCACCACATCAAAATAAATAAATAAAGTTATTGTGTCCAACTACAACAAAAAATAATTAAAAAAAAAAAAAAGCTGGGGTGGTGTGAGAATGACCTGATCCACCGGAAGTGGCACAGCTCATTGATGGCACAGCAGGGTCAGGTTCATGGCAGGGTCAGTGCTTTTCAGCTCAGAACCATCCTCCCTAGGACCTTTCCAAATCGAGGTGTGATCTCCTGACACAAACGGCCCGAGGCCTGGTGCAGACCTGGGGATGGGTCCAGAGGGAGGAGGCAGAGCTAACTAGGCCAGATTCGAGATAGGAGATGCCCAGGCAGGAGGAAGAGCAGCGTGATGTGTGGGAGACAGAGACGACTCTCCCAGTTCCCTGTCCACCCCCACACCCTCCCCGCCTGTCCCCGCATTCCAGGCCAGGCCCAAGGCTTGGGGAAGCTCAGTCTGAAGCAGCCTCAGGCCAGGAGCCTATTAATTATGCCACTAATGAAAGTCTTTCAGCACATCCGGTTTCCTCTGGACTCCTCAGGCTCTCATTAGTTAAATCCCTTCAGCCAACACCAGTGTGGAACAGGGTGGCACCAGCTTGGCAACTCTGCCTCGGGCCCATGGGGGACAGGAACAGGCTAGAGTCAGGTAATCCAGCCAGGACAGCCCCAGTTCAGGGCCACTTTCTTTCCAGCCACTCTGGCTCCCAAAGCCTTGCCTTGCCTATCACCTGGCCCCGTGGACCCAATGTCCTTCTCCACGATAGTGCCAAGAGCCGTAACTGTGGGTGCCCCAATCCTCAGCACCCAGCACCTAGTGAGACAACAGCCACTAAGTGCTGAGGGAAGAACAGAACTGGAGCCTCACGTCCTCAGAAAGACCTGCCTTTCAACACTGTCCACGTCCTTCCAAAAGCCTCCCTGGACCCACCACGTGTCCTCAGCATGTTCTGGCCAGTGGCTTCCATGCCAGCCTCATCCATGCCATCTCCTTTGCTCACTGGGCTCTGCACAGGCTGGCCTCCATGTTGTCCCCAACATACTGGGCTCAGAGCTGCCTCAGCTTGCCCTCTACTGGTCCACCTCCCACACTTGTCCCTGCAGACCCTCTCAGGCTGGCTCCTTCCCATTACTCAAGTCTCAACAGGGAGGAGTGTTCTCTGGCCATCCCAACCTCCATGGCTCTCCTGCCCAATTGCTGACCTCCATCACCTAGGTGCTGCCTGCCCACCTCTGCCCCTGCAAGAATGTGCACTGCACACAGAACCAAGTCTGTCTTGGTCACTGCTGGCCAGACACAGGGGCTGGCCAAGGTGCAGAAATGTCCCCCTTCTCTCCTCATGCTGACCTTCCTTGGTTTCCGCTGCCTGTTCCARTACTCTGGGCACATAGCTATAGTCAAATAGAACTTGACTCATCCATTCAACATTTAACAAATAACCACTGAATGCATCTTGTTTTTCAGGCACTATTTGAGGCACCTGGTATACTACCAAACAATGGTTCTCAAAATGATCTGGGCACCATGGTTCCTGGTTCCTCAAGACCTTTTCAGGGGATCAGTGAGGTCAAAGTTATTTTCATAATACTTGGACATTCTTTGCTCCCCTCCCTTTCATTTCTTATGAGTGGGCTGTGGCCTTTTCAGAGTGTAGGTGACATTTGAGCAATATCACAATAGACTGAAGCAGGGTTGAGGATCCAGCTTCTTCTATTCAACAAGACTTGCAAAAATAGAAAACGCCACTCTTCTCATTAAAAAAAGACTTGTTTTTGGAAAATGTAAGTTAYTTTGTCATAAAGATATGTTATTTGGGGACTGGGGTGGTGGCTCAGTGGCAGAGTGCTTGCCTAGCATGCACGAGGCACTGGGTTTGATTCTTAGCACCACATGTAATAAAGGTCCATTGATAAATAAAAATATTAAAAAAGATATGTTATTTTAATAATGAGTTTATCATTGTGATTTGAAATATTTTTAAAGTTCCTCTCAGTTTGCTTGCCATAAAAACAAAAACACGTTGACGTCTGCAAGAATAAGAATCACTTCTATGGAGAACTTGCCCTTATGGAGCTTAGATTCTAACTGAGAAAGAGAGACAAATTAAAAACAAAACAAAACAAAACTTCACCATATTGCATATTCYGTAGTGATAAAGAGTTTGGAGCAAATGAGCCAGGGAAGGCAGAAAGTACCAGGCATGCAGGTGGGCTGTGCAGTTTTGAATAAGGAAACCAGGGAAGGCCAGAGGTGACCTCYGGAGCACATGGCCACTCTTCATAGAGCTTTGACTCTGTGCTGAGTTTCTTTGTATAGATCCAGCCTTTCATCRAATCCTCAAAAACTCTGAACTAGACTCTCCTAAACACACCAGACTTCTCTGCAGTGACCTCTGGGCCCACCRTTTTCCACCTGTATCTCTGAGGTACATCAGCAGGTGGTAGTGCTGTGGACTGGGGCACCCACARTTAATGCTCTCAAAGAGCCACCATAAAGGGGAGCATTAGGTCAGGCCAAGGGGAGGTGCTTAGCTGGGAAGAATGTGGCCATGAAGCTATGGGGGCTCTCCTGGCTGGATCGTCTCTACCCTGTTCCTGTCCCCCATGAGCCTAAGGCAGAGTTGCTAATGAGATCCTGACCACATCCCTCCAACAACAGTGCTCAAGAGCTGGGCCCAGCCCAAAGCCAAAGAGGCGGACAGGAACCCCCCACCACGGCAAACAATTATATAGACCAGAAGTTGAAACCTGGGGTCTCCAGGACCGGACCTGTGGGTCTCGGTATGTTTTGCTTGGCCTGCATGTTTCAAAACTCAAGCAAATAGGACTTTCCGGCCTCTTCTGGTTGATCCTAAGGCAGGCCTGGGCCCACTTCCTTCCTGCAGGCGCACCCTGTTCCTGGTCAAGGGCTGGCCCTGAGATCACAGGGACTGKGCACTGTCTTAATTATTCTAGGTGCAAAGAAAAGATTCTGGTCTCTAATGGGGACAGAAGCTGGATCTCCTCTATGACTCTGGCCTCAGGTTCCTTAACTACCTACCACAGAGGTGGCCCTCATGATTTCAGAAATCCAAGGTCTCTGCTCTAGTGGGGCTGACRGGGGACTCACATGGCCCCAAGCAGCTTGAAGAGGTAGAACAGGGCCTCCGACACTAGCACCCCACATTGCCCAGAGCAGGGAAGAATGGAAGAGAAGCAGATCCACTCCAAGTGGAGAGGCGCCTTCTGGTTTGCCCAGAACTGCTTTTGCTTTAAAAACCAAGAAGGCTGGTGACCCAAGGAGCACCACAGAAGTCCATTTCTCCCTGTCCTCAAAGCTGAAGTGGAGAAAGGTCTCATGGCTACTGGATTTCCTCAAAGGACAGACATAGGRCATGTCATGGCCCATATCAAACACTGGCTCAGGGTTAGGGAGTCTGGAAGGCCCAGGCCTTTGAGGCCTCTGGAGCCCAAAGGGTCTCCCCTCCCCCTCCCCGGTAGAGCTGAGGCCATTCCTGTGCACAGCAGAGGAGATGTGATTCCAGCTGGCCCTCGAGGGCAGGCTCGGTGTTTGGTTTGTCCTGATAGGGGCTAGACACGTGTGTCTGATCCATGCTGGAGAGGCCCCCGGGTTGGAGAGGGTGTCCATATAGAGTGAACCCCCAAGAAGCCCTCCAACCTCAAAAATGGCAGGATGCTTAGGGCTGACCTGCCATGCAAATTCAGAGCAAGCCTGTCCCTCCCCTGAAACACSGGGCTCAGTCCCTGGAACCCTGCCTATCACCTGTGTCTGACACAGTGGGAGAAGGAGAGTGTTCCACGGCCTGGTCACTCGGGGTCTGCAAAGGGATCCACCCTTCTCTCGTTCCTATTCTGTCCCATGCCTAGGGTTGAGGACACACAGTTCTGTGCGCGAGTCTTCATCCCTGGCTCACTGCTGCTCGGCCCTTCCTCTCTGCCTTCTGGATTCTTTAGGGCCTGGTCCCAGCACCTCCTCAAATCTCACTGGAACAGGCTGTAAGGCAGGCACCTCCAAGCCGTTCCCTACAGCACGTCCCCCGCTGCTGTGTTCTCGTGGCACTTGGCACAATCTGAAATTCCCTTGCTCTTTCTTAATCTGTTTATTTGTTACCAGTCTCACCCCACTAGAATGTTCTCTCCCAAGGTCACTGGGAAGGGACCTTGGCCATTCTGAACCCCACTCCACCCCCAGTACRCACAACAGCACCTGGCATGTAGGAGATGCTTGATAAATACTGAATGCACGAACTACCTTCCCCCTCACTAATCCCAACAGGCACTGGCTGTCAGGAGGCAGCAATGTGGCTAAGAACAAGGGCCCTCAGGGCTGCCTGATTGGAATCCCAGCACCAGCTCTTTACTACCTGTGCACCCGAACAGGTTCCTTAACCCATCTGCACCTCGGTCCTGAGTGTGAACTGCACTAGAGACCACTCAATGGGAGAATGCATGTGCYGTGCCTGGGAAGGCACAGGCTTTCTCCATTAAGTTGCCTGCCAGTGTCATTACTCCCCTCACCTCCTCTGTGAGGCCCCCTGCTGATTCCCTGCCCAGAGCTTAGGAGCTTAGAGACTTGGCCCAAAGTGGCTGAGTGGGAACTCAGCTCTTAGCAGCTCAGTGATCAGCTGTGGAAGTTACTTTTTCTTTCTGGGCCTCGTAAAATGACAATAATAGACTCAATTCATTCAAGTTCTGTAAATGAGTTAATCCATGGAAACCTGGATTAGAGCCTTGCACATAGCAGGCCCTTTACAATGGTTACTTCTTTAAATTTTACTTCTTATTGCTGGTATTATTGGTCCTATTATAGAACACACCCCTGCCTCTCTCTTCACTACCGCATTTTTTTACTGTGCAAGCATTTGTCAGTGTATGTTATGTTTGTTTCCCTTGATGCAATATGAGCCAATGAGGGAAATGATTGGATGGTTTTGTTTACTGCCGTGTTCCCAGAGCCTAGAACAGCACCTGCTATACAGCAGGTGGTCACTAAATCTGTGTTGTAGAGATAAGGAATAGATGGATGGAAGGACTCCTCCCTTTGTGGGTCCTTTCAGGTTCTATTGCCAGCTTCCAGGTGAGGACTCCAGGCTGGGCACCAGGAACCCTGCCCCACCACCCACCCAAGCCAACCTCCCAGCCCCCTGGCCCCACATACTTCCTGTGATGGTGATCCTCCGGCCTTGGTAGTAGTCTCCCAGGGTCACAGCATTGCCCTGCTTGGTGGCCACAACCCTGACTGTGCGCACACTGTCCTGGCACTCCACGTAGGGATTGTAGCCGGGATTGCCTGCTGCCAACTGGGCATTGATCTGGTTGTCCACACTGGCTGGGGAGAAGGCATCAGCAATGCGGTCCCGGCAAAAGGACTTGTACTTCCAGATTACGATGGGCTCTGGGAGGGTCGAGCTCATCTGATAGGTGCAGGGCAGGGTCACAGGCTGGAACAGTATCACTACGTGGTAGGGGTCAGACACAGTCACCTGGATGCCACTGGCAGGGGCTGAGRGCAAGAGGAGAGTCAGTAGGGATCATTGTAAGCTCAGGAAAGAACTTCAACAGGAATGAGTCACATCACTTGCCTCCAACATCATCTGCCACAAGTGTGTGGCTGTCCAGAGCACCTGGCACATATTGTTCTTTAATTCCCAGGCCTGGTGAGGTAGCTCTGACAGTCATGCCCATTTTATAGACCCTTGGGGTTGAAAAGTGGCAGATATGAGGTCAATGGCCATTTTACTGGAATGTTCTGTCCATCCTTCCAGACTGTGGCCTCTGAATCACCCCAGTCTACCCTCTGTTCCCTTGCCCATTCCCTCTGTGGCCTGTAGGGGCAAGACCAAATAGCCACCGCAAGGCGCGCCAGGGCTCAAAACCTCAGCTCAAAAAGAACTTTCCCAAGGATTCCAAGTTACCCGGGTTTTGTGAATTTTGGAGAAGTTWGACCTGCGTTCTCTGGAGTGGCTAAAGCCCCCACAACATTTCTGTCAACATCCCACCTGACCCTACCCAAAGTCATCCCAAACACACACCTAAATATGCTTGCTGAAAGACAAAGCCCCTGTCCCCCACCAGGGAGAACATCCAATCCAGTTCAGGGCTGGCCTGCGGAAGATGGTTTCGGGTCCATAAGTCCATCTTGCCAGTCTCTTACGCACAGATACCAGGGAACCCGCGCGRGGTGGGTGGGGCCGGGGGTGGTGGGAAGTCCCCATCCCACGCCCACTCGAAGCCTGGGCACTACTTCTTGATCCCTTCCTTTAGGAAACTTCTGATTCACCTCTCAATCTAACATTTCCCCGTTACCCCAACCCTTCTCCAGGGAAGCCCAAGACCCCATTTCAGCCTTTCCCGTGATCGAGGGTCCTTCATCGCTACCCCACAAAGKGTCCCCGTCTCCCAGCCGCTCCAGGGCACACGATCCCGGGAGTTTCACTTCCTGCTGTCTCCGACCAGGGCGTGGGGAGCGCTCGGTGAGAGGGTGGGGAATTCCCTCACTTGGGCTCAGCAGAGGTCTCCCCAAACCCGGAGGATCTGGAGGTCCTGAGCTTTTGCGCCTCCGCACCCACCCCCCGSCCTCGCCCTTGTCCTCCCACCTCCYGGGCCGCGGAGAACTGAATCCACCTCCCTCTGTGTGGTGCCCTCCCGCGGTTCTCCAGCACCCGAGGCCCCACGTCGCTTACCTGTGCACCAGGTACCGAAAAAGAGCCACAAGAAGCTCACCGCGACCCRGTGGTTGCAGGGCGCCCAGGAATGCCGACAGGCCACCCGCGCCATCGCGGCCGTCTGGGCGCGTCGGCCCCGCGCGTCCCCTCCCAAGTACCGGGAGGGTAGGGGGCGCGGCGAGCACCGAGGCCGGGAGGGGTGCGCGCTCCTCCCCTTTCCACTTCCGCTCCTTGTCTCTATTCCAAGTCTCTCCCGCCGCGCTCGAGGAGTTCGACCAACAAAAATAACGTGGATGAAGCGGACGCCTTCAGCTTTCGGGGAGAAACTGGGTAGACCCACGGCGCGTCTCCGAGCCGCTCCACCCCCGGCGCGCCCCTGGGAATGGATCGGCCCAGGTACACAGGGTGGGAGCCCCGGCCGGGTTCGGGGTGGGCGGCGGGGAGGGGCTCCTCGGCCTCCCTCCCCGGAAGTGGGCTGACCCAGGTGCGCTCTGCCCCCAGGGCCGAAACCAAGTGACCGGCCCCTCCAGGAGGGCGCCCGCAGACTGCGGGCCTCGTGCAGCCCTGTCCTGCCCCCAGCAAGCCGAGCGGACGAGGTCCACGGGAACAGAGACCTGCTCGGAGAGAGCCACCTGTTAGGAGGGGCGGGCCCTGCCGCGCACCTGTTCCCTGCCTGCGCACACCCCTCTCCTGGGCCGGCGATGGACCCGCCTAGGTGCGCCCTGCGGGGAGGGGCGAGCCTCGGCGGGTCCCGCCCGGGTTTCCAGCCAGTGGGGTTCGGCCCGCCCCGGTGCGGGGAGGCGCTGCGGGCTTCATACACCTCCCAGTTCGATGACCTCAAGAATCAAATGAAGTCCCCAGAAGGGAAGCTCGGACCCTCTAGGGACGCCTGATGGGACTCAACCCTTGAAAAAGTTAGAATTCCACTTGGGAAGTTTTTCCCGCCTCCCCCTACCCTCCACCGGTGGTTCAGCCCCCGGGCATCCCTCGMCCTAGGTCAGACCTCCGGAAACTCGGGCTCTTAAAGGGGCCGAGCAGAGCGCGAGGCCCGGGACCCGTTTCCGCCCAGGAATTCCTTGGGACTGGCCACCTGCGCCCGGGCGGGGTGCTGCTCTGCCAGCCACCGGGGCAGCGCTAGGCGCGACTCTGCTGCCTCCCCGTGGCGTCAAGTGGGGAGCGCATCCTGGGAAACACGACTCAGGCGCTTCCCCCACAACCCACTGGAGGTTGCAGACGGCTGGTGGGTTSGGGACCCAGGCAAGTTCCCGACTGAGTCCTGTAAAACTTAAGTCGATCACCTGCCTCCGCTCAAAGCCTTCCGGTGGCTCTTTCTCAGAGGACTTGGAGTGGCCTGAGTTTTTCTGATAACAAAGGTTAATWATTATTTTATACATTTTCTTTTATATCATGTAAGCAATAAAAACTGAAATCACAGACCAAAATTAGAATAAAATTAGTTTTTATAACTGCACATGTATTTACTTTCCGAGAGATCTTTACTTCTTCATATGGCTTCAGGTTACTGCTTATTATCTTTTGGATGATAAACAGTAACATCCTGTTAGCATTTTTAAATAGGACAAGTCTAGTGGTACTAGATTCCTTCAGCTTTTGTGGATGTGAGGATGTCTTAATTTCTCCCTGATTGTTAGAGGATAAGTTTTTTTGATTTTAGAATTCTCTTCTTCTTCTTCTTCTTCTTCTTCTTCCTTCTTTCTTCTTTCTTCTTTCTTCTTCTTCTTCTTTCTTCTTCTTCTTTCCTCCTCCTCCCAGGGATTGAACCCAGGAGTGCTTAACCACTGAGCCACATCGCCAGCCCTTTTAATTTTTAATTTTTTATTTTGAGACAGGGTCTCCTTAAGTTGCTCAAGTTGTTCAGAACCCTGCTGAGTTGCTAAGACTGGCCATAACGGTCTTTATCATGTCTGAACACAGACAAAGCAGGAACATTGTCCAAACCACAAGATATCAAAAATCCCCCATCCCAGATGATGTGTGACGACTGCTTCTTCACCCATTTTAAGTTAAGCTGTGCTCCATTTTTCTTATCTCCTGRAGAAGATAGAATTAGTCATACTTCCTGGCAGCTCCCCATCCCAGCAACTCCCCACATCTTCAGACTTTTCTCAAAAGTYACATAACAGAGTTCACATTCCACGTCTCCTCTAGCTCATCTTTCTGAGACACTGTATCATTTCCCATGGTCTCTTCCCTCCCTGCAGTGAGTCAAATAAATCCAACTTTGTTGACAGGTGTGCTTCTGCGAGTCTTAGGATACTGACCCATGTCAAACCTGTGCCCACCTGAAGGACTTTGCATGTGCTGTGTGATTAGTCCAGACTTCCTTCCCCTGGAATATTCATGGCTCATTTTATGGAGAACTGCTCAAATATCACTTCTTTAGAGAGACCTTCTCTYCCTACCCCCTTTACAATAGTCTCTCTACTAGTTTTTGAGGGATGCTATAATAAACACCATAGGCCAGGTGACTTAAACAACAGAAATTTATGTCTTCACAGTGCTGGAAGCTAAAAGGCCAAGATCAAGATGTTGGAAGGTTTGGTCTCATTCTGAGGATTCTCTCTGGCTTTTCACTCCGTCTTCACATAGTCTTCCTCTATCTGTGTTCTCTGTGTCCTAATTTTTTTCCTCTTATAAGGATGTCAATCGCATTGGACTAGAGCCCACCCTAGCAATCTCATTTTAGTTCAATTGCATTTTTAAATTCCCTCTGAAGGATATGACCACCCCCAGGACAGGGAAATGACAACTCCCCCAAACTGTCTGACCCCGAGGAAGAGGGACCAGGAAGGCAACCATGAATCCTCTCCCAGTAAGTCCTTTCCCAGTAACAATGGGCCCCAAGGGAAAGAAAGCAAACTTTGATCCCTCCCCTGTTCGTCCTCCCATCTCCACCACCAGCAAACATTCACCCCTTCCCAACCACAGTGGGACCAGCAGGGAGGGTGGCACTGAAACACTGGGCCCTGGACTTTCACCCTGTCCCGTTGCCAATGAGTCCTGGAAGGGGAAGAGCAAATAGCCAAGCTCTGGGTAACAGTGGGTCCAGAGGGAGAAGAGAAGCAGGGAACACCAAGTTCTGAGCTTTTCCCAGTGACAATAAGTTTGGGACTTTTTACAACTTTTTCACTGACCTGCCAATAAGTCAACCATCCTCATTGTAAACTATAAAATTCAGACTCCTTCTGGAACCGGTGGCTATTTTCCTACACAGAAAATGACACCCCCTCCCCCCTCCCCCAGCGTGCCTGATTGATTGACTCTGCTGCAAAATAAAAGAAAGCTTGCTGATCCGCTTGAGGTCTGCTTCCGTCCTGGTTCTTTGTGTTTTCATAATGGTGCTGAAACCGCGTTGGTTATTTTTGCTTATACCCTATTTCCAAATATAGTCACATTCTGTGAGAGTGTGAGTTAGGGCGTGGACATTTGCATTTGGGGTCGGGGGGGTGCATACATACCTTAACAGGCTCTATSTCTAATTTCTCTGTCCCCACTTTTTGTTTTCCTGCATTTACTATCATCTGATGTTTTATGAGTCATTCTTTATTTGTCATCTAATCTTCTCTCAATGTAAAGACAGCATCACTCAACAAATATCCCACGTGCATTCCTACATTTCTCAGCCCCTCCATGGTCAGGTGGGGCTAGGTGGTTAATTCTAGTTRGTGGCCTGTTGACAAAACTAAGGTGGACGCCTCCCAAGCCAAAGCAGTTAATTGCCAGTATGTGACTCAGTTTGCTCCCTTCTTCTGCCATAGCAACTAGTGGTGTTCCCAGTGGTATCTTTAGGGACCTTGTGGAATAGAGTGCTCCACTCACCAACACTGGGACATGGAGTGTGAAAAAAGAATTGTGTTAAGCCACGAAGATTCCAGAATTCTTTTGTTACATAGGATAATCTAACCTAACCCGACGAATACATCCCCACTAGACTGTAAGCATCAGGAGGTCAGGGACTTAAGCTGGATCCTTGGTACCTGGTGCAAGGTGGGTCATCAGTAATTATTTGGGTAGTAAGTGAATGTGTGTGGCATAGAGAGGTGAASCTTGGAGCTGGAACCATTGTCCACAGTGGACATGGAGCATCACTGAGAAGCCAACCTTTGCTATTTGAAAGTCACTCAGATTTGGGGGAAGTTTATTATAGTAGCAAATAACCTCTCTTGATTGATACCAAAATGAGTGCCGGCAGTAGGGGGCTACTGTACTCAGAACTAAAAATAGATGGCATTGACTTAGACATTTTGGGTTCAAGGGAAATTATTAGGACCCAGAGACTGTTGCCTGAGATACTTGGTAATACAGGTAATGTATTTAATGAACTTGCAGCTTTAGGGGAAGCAGTTGGAATACAGCATATTAGGAGTGGATATTGGCCAAAGGTGGCTGAAAATTGAGAAATCCTTTGAAAGTCCAATTAGAACTCAGCTTTTGGCAAGAATAAAAGATTATGGTTGAATCATCACTAACCATTGTTAAAATCTGGGAATATCCAGGTGTGGTGGCACAAGCCTGTMATCCCTGTGGCTTGGGAGGCTGAAGCAGGAGGATCTGAAGTTCAAAGCCAGTCTTAGCAACAGAGAGGCGCTAAGCAACTCAGTGAGACCCTGTCTCTAAATAAGATACAAAACAGGGCTGGGAGGCTGGGGTTGTGGCTCAGTGGTGCACTTGCCTCACATGTGTGAGGCGCTGGATTTGATCCTCAGCACCACATATGCATAAAATAAAAGTCTATGAACAACTTAAAATAAATAAATAAATAAGGGCTGCAGATGTGGCTCAGTGGTCGAGTGCCCCTGAGTTCCAAATCTGGGAATAAATTAAGATACTATCAGGAAATCCTTCCAGGTAGACAAATACCTCATTGAAATAGAGATGAAGGATAGGGCTCTGATGAAGTCTGAAACGAGTTAAGATACCTAGAAATAAGAGGGAGGGGGAGAGGGAGAAGAAGGAAAGAGAGAGGGGGGGAGTTGCTTAGAGGTTTGTAAGAATCCTTAGGTATCAAACTTTGGGGAACAGAAAGTAGACTGAGAAACGGATGATGTCTCAAGGAGGCACGTCTTCCAACGCTGCTTCAGACATATCCAAGGAGGATGATGGGGAGGGAGATYTGTCCCTGGAGGATAGAGGTATGAACCTCAGAGAACATGGTTCAGAAGTGTCTGACTCTATCAAGGAGCTGGTTTGAGGCTAATAAGAAATCCTCCCCATCTATGATCTGGAGGCCCTTAGAAGGTCTTCTCCCTGGGTTTAGGAATGGTACAGAACAGTGATTTCTGTGTGCCCCCCTCCTTCTCCATCTTGGTGGACATGAAGGCCTTTTCTCCCATTTTATCATTGTATATTGAATCATTTGCCTTTTTAGTCCACTCCTTTCTGACTTAGGCTCACTCATTTCATTTCCTCGACAGCTCCTGGGGACATCTGAGTTTTTGACGCTGCATCCTTTCGTCAGCCCCTGGAWGACATGAGCGGACATGACATGGCACTCCGGGAGCACCTTGAGCCAAGGTTCATTCCGCTGCCCAAGCGTTATTCCTGAGTTCTGTGGGTGACCTCACAATGCCCAGTGTGGCACCCAGACTCTGCCTGTAGTTGGTCCACCATGTGGGCCTCCCTGTGTCTGGTTAGTGTTGCTTTCSCCATTCTGTGGGCCCAGACGTTGATCAGCTGCTCCTACAAGAGTCTGTGCCAGCGGGCACTGCTCTCGGGCAACGATATTGTCCTGCATTGTGACCATAAGGAGGCACTCTGGTATTTTTCTTCCATTCTTGGGGAGAATATCTTCTTGCTTAACTCATGGCCTAATATAAAGAAACTGCCTGGGGGCAGCCTGCAATTGACCAAGCCTCAGCCCTTGCAGGCAGGCCTCTTTCGCTGTGAGGACAGTGCCAACRCCCTCCTAGTAGAATATGAGATTGATTTCCAGGATGCCACCACCCTGCATATCACACACAAAGACCTGGGCCAAAAGCCCCTGCAGAATGAAACTCTGAACCTAGGTGGCCAGGTACTTATTTTCACCCACTGGGAGCCCTGGCAGGACTGTAACCGCTGTGGGGAGCCAGGCGAACGCAAGCGCCTGGGGTACTGCTATGTTGAGGAGCCCCCGGAAAAACCCATGCCCTGCTGGCTCTACCTGAGGGACGAGAAGGTGCAATACCGYCGCTTGCGGCCCGAGATGCAGGTGGAAAGATGCCTTGTTCCCTGTGACCCCGGCAAGGAAATCGAACAGCCATTCTTCATCTATGACATTTACCAGCTGGGCGAGTTGACCAACCACCTGTGGCTCACCTGCCCTTTGGCTTCCATCTACAGGTGACAGGACCAGGATGGCAGCCCTACCTTTGGCCCTCACCCAAGCTTTGTTTCCTGTGCCCATGGGTTTGCCCTCCTGTAGAAAACCAGGCTTTTTTCTTCCAGCCCATAAGCTTTCAGGGTCAGTCTGGGCAGGAACGGGTCTGCCCAGTGGCGGACTCAGATGTTCACTGGGCAAGAATTCCCAAATGCTGCCTCTGAGCCGGGCCCTGGGCGAGTGATCTTGGCACAGTGTGGCAGCTTAAAAATACCTGGTCTTTGCCCACACGGGCACCTGCCATTCAAATATAAAACCTAGAGACCAACACACTCGGGCCCTTGATCTTGCCCACATAGACACTTGAATGGCTTCTGTCTCCTGACTTGACCCCGATGAACATGATTTGTCCATCGTTGTACCAAGGCCATCTGTTCAATTATCTTCATGATTGTGCTTTTTCAATAAGTCATGATATTAGCCAGTGAACATTTTCCAATATTGTTCTGCAAGATTGTCTTGGTTACTCTTGGTCCTTGGTGTAAAAATTTTGGAATCAGTATGTAGTTTTCATCCCCCCCCCSCCGCAATCCTATTTAAAAAAAAAAATTGGGACTATTTTGAACCTAAATAAATTGTGGGGAAATCATTGTTTTACAATATTAAATATTGTCTTCCCATCCTTGAATATGGTAAACAATCCCATTTACTATATCTCAAAAATCTGCAATTATTAATGTAGATGACTGACATATATTTTATTATGTTTATTCCTAGATATTTAGTTTTTCATACTATTAAATTCTGAAAATTTCATTTTCTAGTTCTATATTACTTGTATTTACATTATAGTTGATATTTGTATATGACCTTGTATCTAAATTGTTTTGTTAAATTCACTTGTAAAATATCACATGGAGAAGTCTATGGTGGATATACTTATCTTATTCTTAATATTTTTGTATGGAATACAGTTTTCTCTGGGTTTTCATAGAAACACTATCAAATTAAGAAAAAATTGCCTCTATTCCTAGTTTGCCCAGACTTTTGAGCCATAGATGGTTGTTGAATCTTATCAAATGCATTTTCTGCATCTACTTGAAATAATAATAATGTTTTTCTTTATTATGTCAATGTGGTGAATTACATTGATTGCTGTTCAAGGAATTGCTGTTCACATGTAAACTCAAACTTTCCTTACAGGGATAAACCCAATTTGGTCATGATGTTCTTCTTTCTTTTTCTTTTTGCTTTTGTTTTTATCATTGGATAAAATTAACATTTGCTAATTTTTTTGGATATTGTGTCTGTGTTCATAAAAKAGATTTTCCTAAGGATTTCTTTTCTTGTGATGTCCTTTGGTTCTGGTATCAAAGTGATGTGGGCCTCATAGAAGTCCTAAGCATTCCATCGTTTTCTATTTTTGGAAATGTTTTATAATATTAATGTAATTTTTTTTCTGGTACTAGGAGTTGAACCCAGGGGTGCTCTCCCACTTGGRATACAATCCCACTCTTTTTAGTTTTTATTTTGAAACAGGAGCTCACCAAATTGTGGAAGCTGACCCCAAACTTGCAATCTTCCTGCCTTAGCCTCTCGAGTAGCTGGAAATCCAGGTGTGCACCACCACCATGCTCAGATGATATCATGTCTTAATGTCTCAGAAGTATTCAGATGAACTCACTGGCAAGTCTTCCTGGGCTTAGAGGAGCTTCTGTGCACAGGCTTTTAAGTGCAGATTTGGTCTCTTTCATTGTAAATATAGTCTATTCATTTTTTTTCCTTATGCTAAGTTGTTGATTTTTTTTCATGAATTTACCCATTTAGTCTAAATTTTCATAAGTTTTGGCTAAAAGTTATCATATTTTGTCATTATTTTTTATATCCATAGGGTCTGTAGTACTGTCTCTCTTTTCATCACTGAGATACGCCTTTTTCCTTTTTTTCTCGATCAGTCTTGTTCTAGGGCTTTAACAACCTCATCCATCTTTTCAAAGAACCAAATGTGCTTTGTTTGTTTTCCTTTATGGTGCTTTCATTTTCTATTTCTTTGGTTTCTGGTTCATTATTTCCTTTTCTGTGTTTGTTGGGTTAAACATTGTTCTTTACCTAAGGTGCTTCCTGAGATTACTAGTTTTCATCCTTTTCCATTAAACTTGTATTTAGGCCATAAATTTCACTTAGGCACAACTTCCCTGCATCCCAAAAGTTTTGACAGGTTATATTTTTATCAATAGTCAGTTAAAAATTACTTTCTATCTTCAGTTGTGATTTCTCTTGGCCCATTGGTTATTCAGACATTATATTGCATAATTTGTAGATATCTGTACAAGTTCTTGTTTTCTTTTTTGTTATTTAGGTCCAATTTAATTCCACAGACAAAAAATATGATCCAATTTTGAACATTTATCAAGACTTACTTTATGGCCTAGAATATGGTTTTCTTAAGCACATGTTTTGCATGCATATGAAAAGAATGTATGTTGTGCAGTTGCTGAGTGCAGTTTTCCATATGCATGAATTAGGTCATTTGTTTATCATGTGGTTCAAGTCTCCTGCATCTCTACTGCATTTTTATTAGCATGTTCTGTCAGTTACTGAGAATTGTATGTTAAAATTGCACTTATCTTCTTTTAGTGCCTTGATGACATCATTCCATCGTTTTTAGCTTCGGTTATTCTATTTAAAACTCAATCAAAATCTTATATTTGTGGCTTTGAAAATAATCATCTTTTTCTCCTCTGGTATTTAAAAGATTTTTCCCTTTGTTTTTCAGCAGTGCTTCCACTACCGGGTACCTAGGTATGTTTCATTTAAGTTCATCCTGTGTGAGATTAAGGATCTTGGATTTGTGGTTTAATGTCTTTCATCAATTTTTGGAATGTTCATATCTCTTCAACTATTGMTTGTAGTCTTGGCCCTGCAGGGGGCAGGGGTGTGACTGGAAATGATAGGAGACAAATAGAGACCTTAGCAAAGACCTAGATGAACCCCTGACCTCACCACCTCTCCCTTGTCCACTCCTCCCTTGTCCACTCTGGTTTCCGTGCCCTTTGGATACACTCACCAGGAAGCCTCGAGGCTCCTTGTCTTATTCCATCCAGTTGTTTGGGAAACCTCACATCCTCAGAAAGTGCCTGGCTATTCTGCCTAAAACAGCTCTCGCCCGCACACTATTTCTTTCTATTCCTATTCCTTTCCCTGCCAGCTTTCTTTTGAGCAGTCATGGTTACAGTCAGTTCTCGTTATTTGCAGATTGTGTATTTGCAAATTTGCCTCCTATTCACTGAATTTTATTTGTAACTTTGAAATCCATGCSCATAGTGTGTCCATGGTCATCTGTCATCATGTGCAGGGTGGCGAGAACTCCGAGTCACACAAAGCGTTTCATATACCCAGCCCAAGGTCAAACAAGGTGACACTCGGCCTTCTCATTCCAGCTTGCGTGCTGTTCAGAAGCAACCTTTTGGTGATCTATTTAGTCCATGATTTTCACCATTTTGTGCTTTTCTGGTAATTTTGCTGTTCAAAGTGGCTCCCCAACAGAGTGCCAGAGTGTAGTCTAGTGTTCCTAAGTGCAAGAAGGCTGTGATATGCGTGTTTAAGAAAACATGTGTCCCAGGCATGGTGGTGCAMACCTGTAATCCCAGCAACTCTGAGGCTGAGACAGGAGGCTCACCTGGTTGGGGCCAGCCTGGGCAACTTAGCAAGACCTTGTCTCAAAATTAAAAAAAAAAAAATGGATGGGGATCTAACGTAATGGTAGAGCAACTCTGGGTTCAGTTCTCAGTACCAAAAAAAAGGGAAAAAGAAAAAAACACACACATTTGCTCAGGAGTTTTAGTGCTACCAGAGTTCAATGTCAACAAATCAACACTATTGTATTACCTATGTATTAAGTGATTGTGGCCTTTAAACAAAAATGCACACAAAACAAGGTTACACATATTATTGATTGGTTGACAAAAATGTCGTGACCAGGGGCTCAGAGGAACTTAACCCCATATTTCTCCTCGGGGCAATTATTCAATATTCACGTATTTTTAGTGTTTCTGGCAACTACATTTCATAACTGCCATGAGTAATGGAATTAAGTATATGTGACATTGGGTTTATTGCCTATCTTTTCCACTAGAATATGAGCTTAAGAAAGGGAGAGGCTTTATCTAACCTGCTCACTGCTATGGTTAGAGTGAGTAATGGCTGGCACACCATAGACATTTAGTGAACATCTATAAGATGAGTGAATGGCAGAAAATCAAGCCCACACAATAATTTTTATTTTCAGGTCTGTAAAGGAGTTGAGGAAAAGATTTGAAAAGGGAGAAACTTATAAAAAATGTTTGTTAATATGAATTGAATTATGCAGCTATCTGGGGAAAGAGCCAGGAGCTAGTATGTGCAAAGGTCCTGAGGCAGGAGCCCCTCRGCTTAAATAACATGTTTAGAAACTGAAGTGGGGGGCAGCATGTCTAGAGAGATAGGGTTGGTGGGAGAAGTATTGGAATTCAGAACACTAATCAGGTAGGATCTGTTCACYGCTGTGTCCCAAGTGCTAAGAAGCGTAATTGGAACTTAGTACCTATTCAGGAAAAATGTGTTGAGTGTTCGCGTGTGACACTCTTAAATTCTTGACCATCCCTGGCAATGTAAATTCACCTCTTGGGAGAGCCAAGAGGAGGTAGGTGGTAGGGAAAACCCTGAAGAGATCAATTAAGTTTCTTCCTGTCTCAGCAAAACATAAGATTGAGAACAGATATTAAATGGGGTTGTCAACTGGACACAAATCAAAAGGGGATGGTGACCTCACAGCCCCCTGCGGTAGATTGCCATTCATCTTGCTGCTCAGGGCTGAGGTCTGAGTTTGTGAGTGACCTCACAATGWCCAGAGTGGGGCTCAGCCCGCTGCCACAGCCTCAGTCCACCATGCTGAGTACCCTGTGGCTGCTGCTCAGCTTTGCTGTCCCGGTGCGGGGGATCTACAAATTTGTCAGCTGTCCCCATGGCAAGCAATGCCAGAAGGCCCTGCTGTCCGGCAACGAYGTACTCCTGCAATGCAGCTCTGCTGGGGCACACTGGTACTACTTCTTCCTGCAGACCAGGAGTGGCTGGACCACCACCAACACCAGTGTTTCCAATATGGTCACCACGCCCGTAGGTCACCTGCTCATTAGAGACCCACTGCCCTCCCAGACGGGCCTCTACAGCTGCTGGAACAAGAATGGCACCCAAGAGACACAGTACGAGATTGATTTCCAGGATGTCAGCTCCCTGCACATCACACACAAGAGCCTGGACCAAGATCCCCTGCACAACGAGTCCCTGGAACTGGGTCGTCAGGAGACGGTCTTCACGCACTGGGAGCCCTGGCAGGACTGTAACCGCTGCGACGTGCCCGGGGAGCGCAAGCGCTTGGGCTACTGCTACATCCGGGAGCCCCAGGAGGAGCCCGTCCCCTGTGGGATCTTCCTGGGACAGGCCAAGTTGAAGTCCAACCGCCTGCGGCCCGAGATGCAGGTGGAGGCCTGTTTCGTGCCCTGCGACCCTCAACGCTCCTACCGCCACGAGTACACGGTCTTTGACAGTTTCAGGTTCAGCAAGGAGTCGGAAGCTCTGTGGCTCACCTGCTCCTTGGGATCCATCTACAGGTGATAGGACCTGGTCACCAGCGCTGTCCTGGCCCCTGGCCGGGCTCCTCCAGCCCCCCCCCCTCCCCCCCCGTCTTTGTGGCTCCTCTGTGCAGGGAGGGAGGGGTTCTGTGCGGGCCGGCCCGGCCAGCTCAGGGGTCCTCAGGCTGGAGCCCAGGGGACACAGCCCAGGTGGCCAGAGTGGGCTGGGAGGAGCCCTGGCAGAGCAATGGGCTGCCCAAGAACCTGGGCGTGGGGGTGGGTTGCTTCTGAGAGGCCCCTGAGCCATCTAGAAGGGCCAGCAAGGCCCTAGAGGACAGGACAGTGGCCCYCACTTGTCCTTCAGTGCCCGTTCCCCAGAGCTTACTCTCACGTCCTGACCTTCCTGCCCCGAGACCCTGGGCAATCTGCGCGCCTCCTCCTCTTCCCATCCCCGCTTCCCACCCCTCCCCCATCATCGGGTGGCAGCATCGGAGGCCACCCCAGGACAATGTCCTCTCCCACTCCACCCTCCTGCCTCAGGAGGTGGGGACACCAAGGAGGTCATTTTTTTTTTTTTCAGAATGTAGATTCTTCTTTTTTATTTATTTATATTAGTTCAATATTGATATACATAACATAGGGAAAAGAGGAAAAGAGAAAAGGGGGACATACTGGGGATTGATTGAAGGAGGTCATTTTTTAATGAGGATTGGCCTTGGGGTCCTCCTACCCTCTGCAGACACCCAGGGCGGGCAGCACCTGATGGCCCGGGGCCATGATCGGGTGGAGCCTGATCTGGAGCTCTGTGGGATCCGGGCTCAGCACCTGCACTGGGTCCTCTTGTGACTTCCGTTCCTCCCCCTCGCTCTGGGACCCTGTTGTCCCCCTCCCTCCTCCTCTAAGTATAAAAGCCACRGCCTCTTTCCTGAGACCAGCMCAGTTCACRAAGGCAGGAACGGAGTGCGGACCCCTCTCCCTCTCTGGGGAGACCTACTCCRTGTCACACGAGGAGTTCCCAGGTCCCAGGCCCAGGGAATGAGATAAGAAGGGAGGGACGGCACAGAGAGACCACCACAGGCCCTTGTTTCTAAGGCACGGAGGGGACGGAGGGGACGGCCTTTCTGGTGAGATTTTGATCTTGGGCTCTGGATTCTGCCCACCTTGGGTTCACAMCCCAATTCTGCCATTTTCCAGACTTTGGTGACTTTGGGCCCAGGGCTTCCCTCGGAGCCTCAGTTTCCTCATCCGTAGGCTGGGCTCACATTCGTGATGCACAAAGTACCCTGAACTGGGTGGCTTACGACAACAGACATTTATTCTCACGCCTTCCCGGAGGCTGGGAGTCTGAACCCAGGTGTCCGTGGGGCCGGGCTCCTCCTCAGTCCTTCCCTGCCTCTTCCCGGTGGCTGGTGGCAGCCAGAGATCCTGACGCTTGTCCCCGTGTTGCTCCAGTCCTTGCATCTGGCCGTCGTCACCGCTCGGTCTTCTTCCAGTAGGTCTGACCTCCCTGTCCAGCCTCCTCTTCCAGGAGGACTCTACCCTACCCCAGCATGACCTCGTTTTCACCTAATGACCTCGGCAATTGATATCCTGGGGAGGGTATCAATCTGGTGGGGGAAGGAGTGGTCAGCACCTGAGGCCTGGCTGACCCCAGCCCCAGGGTGTCATTGTGATGTTTAAGAGGGCCAGTGACAGTCCAGGGCTCACAGCTGGGTCTTGGCCTCATGAGGAGACTGGGATATTGTCGCCTGGTCTACTCTGTCCTTCCACCACAGCGGCACCAGCCTTGCTGGGGGCCTGTTCCCTGATGTGCCAAGCGCGGTCCTCGGGGCCTGGGACCTGGTACTGAGCAGACATACCCACGCCCTCGCCCTCTGGCAGCAACCACTGTATTTTTATTTCAGAACGAATAAAACACAATATTTTGGATGATGTTAAGAGTCAAAGGGAGAGGAGGACATGGAAATTGGAAATGGGTCAGGGAAGGCCTCTCTGAGACAATGCCATTGCATCCAAGACCAAAAGGAGGCAAAGGAACCATGTGGATGGAGCGAGGAACAGAGTTCCAGGCAGAGGGAACAGCCAGGACAGAGGTCCTGAGGCAGAGGGCACCCAGCATGTCTGAGGGACATCTGGGACACCGTCTGTTCTTTGGACGCCCTGGGCATGTTGTGGGATGGGCAGATGACTCGTGGGAGGGGAGGAGGTGAAGTCAGGTAGGTGAGGGGACACAGGGGACCCGTTAGGGAGTGGGCTTACTGATGTCTCCAAATAACTCCATGAAAGGTGCGATGCTTGATTGTGTTTCCATGRTTAGAGGCGGGAAGGGACAGAGGCCGTGGCTCAGGTCACCCAGCCAGGAAGGGGTGGCGCTCTGGGGCTCCCAAGACAGCCCCRCCCTCCCCTGTTCACGGCCCAGCYGCCTCCCTGTAGAGCGTGGCACTGACCTTGTCCTCCCCGCAGGCCCATCATGTGGGAGGTCAACGGCATCCCCCTGACTTGGCGGGGCCAGCTGGTCGGCCAGGGCATGAACACGGTCCTGGACACCTCCACCGGCGGCAGGCAGCTGCAGATCTTCCAGCCGGCCACGTACAAGTGCTACGTCCACCAGGAGTTCATGGCCCAGTTCAGCCCCGTGATGGGTCCYGAGGCCTTGGAGGAGCAGAACAAGAAGGAGGAGCAGCAGTGGCAGGTGGGCAAGGTCCTGGTGCCGCCCAAGGAGGCCGACTCGGTTCTCAAGGGGCTGAAGCTGATGCTGCTCATGGTCTTCGTCCTGGCCCTGGCCGGGCTACTCTTCAGGGCCCTCCGTCCTGCCTGGGACAAGAAGAAGAACTCCGTCCTGCTGGTGAAATAAAGCGAGCCTGCTTGCCCAAGGGGACCCGGCTTCCTGTTCCTTTATGGCCTCCGCTGTCCCTCCGATAGCTCCTGCCCACCCCGGGCCCACCCCGTGCCCACCCCCGTCCCCCGATGAGATGCCTGTGGGCCACAACGGCCCCGGGCWACAGCAGGCCCTGCCCTGCTGCAGTGTGAGGGATGGCACCCGGCTGGTCTCGGGGGAGTCTCAGGTGTGGTCAGTCGCAGCTTCCTGTCAATCCACTCTCCAACGACAACATGGAGACCACAGGCYGTCTCCAGGTCCTCCAGGCCTGCCCGGCCCCTCCTGCTTGTTCATTGTCCCAGCCTTCAAGCCACCGTGCCCCAAGTCTGGGCCCAGGGTGCAAAGTGGAGGACATGAACACCCTTCATGTTGCCGGGCTTTTGCAGTGGAGGAAGCCCCCTCGGGACCACCAATGGGTCCAGGTGCCAGGCCTGGCTCTGCATGGGAGTCACCAGGCCTGGCTGAGCCCAGAAACGCTCACACTGTCGAGCAGGGTGCCGGGCGAGAGAGGAAACAGGACGCCTTTTAAAATTCATGGCTCTAAACCTCACTGTGGAGCAGTGACAGGACAGACCTGAGACTCTCCCAGGGCAGCCCTGGGGTCCTGGAGGACAGGGCAGAGCACCCCCCACCAGGCACCAGAATGCTAGGCCTGGTACCCAGAGACTCTCAGGTTCCTGCAGGACGAGGGGAAGGCCCCTGAGCATTCCCGGGGACTCCCTGGGAGGCAGAGGCCAAGGATACGATGATGATGAGAATCAACCTTTTTGGCCCTCAGGAGGCGTGGCTAAAACTTGCACCCTTCATCAACATCATGTCCCCACAGCCACCCACGAGGCTGCTGCCACTAGAGCCCTGTTCTGCAGCTGAGAACATCCAGGTGCGGGAGGCGCAGCACCTGCTGAGGTCACGCAGTGAGTTTGGGAAGGGGACACTGAAAGGAAATATCRGCTCCTTGCTGGCTGCTAGGAAACCCCCAGCCCATGTCCTGTACCTACAGTAGCCCCCACTGGTCTACACAGCACTGAAGGTCTCGTGACCCACAGCCGAGGCCGTCAGCGCTGTACTGTGACGGGCAGCCCCTGAGGTGACCGTGACTTTCCACCTCCTGGTACCCACATCTTTGTGCAATCCTCTGCCCCTTGTGTGGACCAGATCTGTGACCCTGCTTCTGACCACAGCATGTGCTGACGGCGTTAGACGGCCATTCCTGAGGAGGCTGGGTCCTAGAAGACCTGCCTCAGCAGCCCGGAGCACAGAGTCTTGCTGCTTTGATGACATAAGCAGCTGCTGTGGTTTGGATAAGTGTTTCCCAAAGGCCCATGTGTTAAAGACTTCATCCCCAGCCTGTGGCTCTATTGGGGGTGGTAGAACCTTTGGAAGGTGGAGCCTAATGGGAGAAAGTTAGGTCTTTGGGGCATGGCCTTGAATGGGATATTGGGACTCTGCCCCTCCCTGTCTCTCTCTTCTGTTCTCCCGACACCATGAAATAGGCAGCTTTCTTCACCACGTGTTCCCACCATGAGGTGCTGCCTCCCCACAGGCCCCAAAGCGACTGGATTAACTGATCATGGGATGAAGCTTCTGAAACTGAGACAGAGTAAACCTTTCCTCCCTAAAAGATGATTGTTTCAGGTATTTTGTTATAGTAACACAAAACTGACTAACATAGCAGCTATGTTGAGGAAGCCCATGTGGCAAGAAGCTGTAGCCTGGGAACTCTGTAGAGATAGTATATATCAGGTTGGGGGTGGGGGGCATGTTTGCTGCTCCAATGAAGCTGACTAGGATATGGAGGCAGCCATGATGGAGAAGAATATCCAGGAAATATCCAGGGGCCAGATCCTGTAGGACCTTGTGGGCCAGAGTCAGGGTTTTTTTTGGTACCAGGGATTGAACCCAGGAGTAGTTAATTACTCAGTCATATCACATCCTCAGCCCTTTGTATTTTTTATTTTGTGACAGGATCTAGCCAAGTTGCTTAGGGCTTTGCTAAATTTATGTGGCTGGTCTCAAACTTGCAATCCTCCTGCCTCAGCCTACCAAGCCACGGGGATTGTAGGTGTGTGCCATCATGCCCAGCTTTCGGGAGCAGGTCTTTATTAGAAATGAGATGGGAGCCCTGGGAGAGTTTTGAGCAGTGGAGGGACATGATTGAATGTCCATTTAAAGTGGTGTTTCTGACAGGGTGGGATGAGAAGTAGCAACCACTTTCAGGTGACCAATAGGACAATGAGAAACAGTCACCACCAAGTGGTCAGGCCTGCCCTGGACACCCTCTGCCTCACTGCAGAGCATAAGACACAGTGTGCCCCACACTCCAATCTTTGTTTTCTGAGCTGGGTCTTACTTTGTTTCGAGGCTGGTCTCAAAATGCTGGGCTCAAACAGTCTTCCCACCTCAATCCCCCAAGTAGCTGGGACTTGAGCTGCATGCCACTGAGCCCAGCTATTCCATTTTTAACCATCCATTCTGCCCTTTCCCTTCTGTATCGTCATTTAAAAAAAAATTTCTCAGGCTTACTTTTTTGAAAAAAAAAAATTGCTAATAAATGTTATTCCGGGAAAGTAGTCCTCCTTGTGCCGTGTTACTTTCTACGGTATCAGTCACTCATGTTCTTGGTTATCCGTGGTCAACTGTGACCTGTGAATATTAAATAGAAAATTCCAGAAGTGATTAATAAATGTATTATCAATAAATAACTTTTATTACAGTATAATAATAAAGGTTCTATTTTATTATGAGTTATTGTTAATCTTTTATTATGCATAATTTATAAATTAATCATAGGTACTGACGTATAGGGGGAAAAGGTATCTATAGGGTTCAGTGTTATCCATGATCCAGGCACCAGTGGGGCTGTGGAATACACTCCTGTGGATAAGGTGGRGCTACTGTACTTGGCCCTGCTATCTAGCTCCTCTGACCTGCTGAGRAGGGGATGAGAAGGGGAAAATAGTCCCTTTTTTCTTTTGAAGTCGCAGAAATGCAGGCAAGGCTGCCAACAGCCTATGTATTTTCTCAGTGTAAATTTTATAAAGGCTCTTTCCGCATGGACACAGCCCTATATGAGGGTACTTATTGGCTTGATGAATAGAGCATGGATTGAATTCCTACTTGTCCCTTGGCTGGATACTTTGCACAGTGCTTGACTGGCACAACTCCACAAGGCAACCTGAATACAGACACTTTTCACATCATGAAATTGTCCTGGCAGATGTTACTGTATTAAAGAAGTTCTGCATGATTCTGGGTTAGTCAGTATAGGATAAGTTCTGCCGCAGTAATAAGTAGGCTCCAGAATCAACACAAAGGTTTGATTCCTGCTCACATTATAATCAGATGCAGCTTCAATGACCTTCTTCCAGTTGAGTCAGGTGACTCAGGGATCCAGACTTTCATCTGAAGTGTTGGTTTCCCAGATCACTACAGAATGAGCAGACAGTACAGAAAATCAGGTATCAAGGATACCACTAGGCCTGGAAGGGTCAATTGTTTTCTCTATATTACATTGGCTAGAACTCATTCATATGATTCCCCATTTAATTGCAAAGAAAGCTSGGAAATGTAATCCCTTTAGGAAGAGAAGGCAAATTGTTGGGCATGTGACCAATTAATGCCACAGGTCAGGTTTCAGAAATTGAAGCCGTGTCCTCTGAAAGAAAATTTGAACTGCCAAAAAGCATCTGTAATTCTTCTTCTTTTTTAAAATTTTAGTTGTAGATGCACACAATAACTTTTTATATTTCATTTTTTTACATGGTGCTGAGGATCGAACCCAGTGCCTCACACATACGAGGCAAGCACTCCACCACTGAGCCACAGACCTAGCCCCAAAAAGCATCTGTAATTCTGACTCCTTGTACACACTAATAATCTATTTACCTGAGGTTAATATTTAAATTTACTTCTCTTAAAAATTTCCTGTCCAAAAGAAAAAAAAAATCTACTTACTGCCCAAAATAGTATTTCCTGGCCAAAATAATAATAATAAATGGGCTTCTCTGAATTCCTTTCTTTTTTTCTTTTCTTTTTTTTTTTTTTTTTTGGTATTGGTTGGGAATTGAACCCAGGGGCACTTTATCACTGAGCCACATCCCAATCCTTTTTATTTTAAGGTAAGTCCACAGTAAGTTGTTGAGCATCTCTCTGAGTTGCTGAGGCTGGCCTCCAACTTGCAATCCTCTTGCTTCAGCCTTCCAAGTTGCTGGGATTTAGGCATGTACCACCACACCTGGCAACTTCTCTGAATTTCTAACCTCATATATACTCACTGCTTCTTTGCTCAGATAAGAGGATCATTGGGATCTACCTCTTCACTTATATTTAGGTAAAAATGCAGCTTTGAATCTGCAGTCCTATTAGAGAATTTCAGAGGTTCCATATCCCTCCCCAATAGCTCCAGACACACGCTCTTGGCCTTYATGTGGGTGTCTGGCCATGTTCTCCCTGAATTCTTAAGCAAATCTAAGAAGACCCTACATTTGCCTAAAACCCTGGTAATGGCCATTCATTGCTCCTTGAGTCAGAACCACCTCTCCTTGTGGTCTACAGGACGTGTACAGACGGGCAGTTAGCTGCTCACTCCTCCCTTTTCCCTGCCACCTCTCTGCCACCATTACCTCCTCGTTGTTCTGTGCCCTCCATCGAGAAAACCCTCCCTTTCCCTCCTCTCAGTTAGTTCTCATCCTCCGGGATCAGCTCCTGCACCATCATGGAAACCTTCCCACCACACACACTTTCTGAACCATCAGTGCAGCTCTGGGAATCTCCTGGATTTCCACCTCCAAAGCTTTGGAGAGAAGGATTCTTTCTGGACTTACTGTGCAGAGGGCCATGCAACTAATTTCAGCCATTGACCGGTGGACAGAAGCTATTACCACATTTAATAGCCAGAGTAAAATCCTCCAGGGTTCTCTTTCTCTCTGTGAAGAACCCAGAAAGCTTGAGATGGAGGTATTTCTGCCAGCCTGGAC